GTGTCTCTCTCTCTCTCTCTCTCTCTCTCTCTCTCTCTCTCTCTCTCTCTCTCTCTCTCTCTATATATATATATATATATATATATATATATATATCCCCCCCCCGACCGAAGATTACTGGTCGCGTTGATATATGACCCTGTATTTACTTGGTCTAGGTTCAATACCAAATCTTGCAGTATCGCAGGCCATTGACTTTGACATGTAAGTGTTACTCACCATGTTAGCCTGTGGCTGCAGAACTAGCCTGGCCTGTTTTTTCCTCTGTTTCCTGTAGTAATTCTCAAACGTTTCTCTGTCTCCCTGCAGACACACACATATTAAGGATTTTCATATCTTGTCCAAAAATGATGAAAGGCAAATATAACTTTTACGTCTTCATGGGAGACAAGAACGTAATGATTTCGCACTACAATATAACAGTGAAATGGAATTTGCTCTTGGTAACGTACCAGCACAGCGTAAATGTGTAAACACCTGTAGACAGGTGAGAAGTCCACAAGATCCTGAGCTGTGAGAATCTGTTAAGATAAAAACACAATTAAAATTTTAGTTATTCTCTTAATTCAACAGCATTGTGATAAAAGCACGTACATAATCACGATACGGTAACCAACCGTCATGAAACAATATTAACATGACATGAGCCTGAACATAGGATAATTATCCCGATATTGTGGGGAAGTTGTGGAGGAACGCCAACGCATTACGTTCCCCTTCATCTGGTGATTTGTGTGGGTCATAACGTAGGTGGCCAAAACGTGCCTAATTCAAATTAAACTGAACTAATAAACTAACTAGCAGAGGTTGCTTGGACTACAAACACGGAAAATAACCTGGCCAATTTAACAGTTGTGGCGCTTTTAATATCGTGACATAATGATATTGTGGCAATTTTAATCCCGCAATATCGCCATTAGCATCGTCTATAAAAAGAGTTGAAAAATTACCTTTGTTCATAACATTAAAATGAACATTTAGGGACGTTCAAAAGCACTTTTTTTTCTTCAGACCGATAGCAGTACGAGTATTCACTCTTGAGAACTCACCGATACCAACAGTATCTATGATACCTAAAACTTCTAGCAACAAAATGACGCGTGTGAGAACAAAGACCCATCTTGTTTGCACATGATGACGATGATGATGTGTCAAATAGCTGCAGTGTGGCACCAACGGCTGGCAAGTGGGACTTAAAAAATGATATTGAGTGTTTTTTGTTTGTTTTTGTCTTAAGTTGATGACTGGTATCGGCATCCTTCATAAGTAGCTGACACCTTGAAATAAGGCAGTATCGGACTGATACTGATACCTGCTATCAGCACTCGCACATTGATTCGAATTTATGTTATTAATATAAATGTAAAAAAGGTTTACTGGGCACTGAATCAGGATTGTATTCAATAGATAATGGCCCATTCTATACTTCATTTGTAGTTGCTGCACACGCTTTCATTACCTCCTCATCACCATCATCCTCATATTCTGCGTCATCGTCCATCATGAGACTGTTGTGCGTGTGTGTTTGGCCATTGAGAGAGTACAAAGGCGTAGTGTAGTGGCTAGCACTGGCCTGCTTCGCCACTGCACTGTTAAAGGTTCTGTGTTGCTGTGCCTGGAGGGACAAATATATAGCATGTCAGAGACAAACACGGATTTTGGGGTATGATTTGAGAAGACAAATCCAATAACCTGTCTCATGGCAGTCTCTCCAACTTTGTCCGAGTGTTTTCTTATGCTCTCCAGGAAGTCCTTTAGGTCAGACATAGAGATCTCCTTGATCTCTTCCCTCAATCTGGGCAGGTTTTCAGCCATGATTTGACAGAACCTATATTGGCTTACTCTACGTGAGACACAGTTACAACTACTACGTAAAAAATACATGTTTGTCGTGCACTTGAGCTTCTCCAAATTAAGAGAACAATTATAGATCATGGCCATGGGAATATCTACGATACCAAGGATTGTAAAATGAAAAGATATCAGATTCAAAATGCATGCCAGACTTGACAGGCTTGAGCTTGGCTTTAGATTCCATGTTTGACAGTGAAAATATTATTTACTCACAATGACTGACAAAAAACAAATTACTACACTGGTGACCAAAATTTAAAAAAGCTCTTCCACTAGATGGTAAAAGATGCATTGATTAACAAGTGTATCCACTTTTTGTGTCTCGGTCTGTGCTGTGTTATTTTTCTCATGTAAAATATGTACTCACTGGTAATGTAGGTACCAGCCTCAGGCAGGATGGTGCGACACCGTCACTCATGGGCTCCAAGGTATATTGGGTTGCTATACTTTTAGAAATGCTGTATAAAAGCTATTCAATCAGTTCTAATCATCTATAGACTTTATTGTCATCATTGTCAATTTGTACCAACCTTACGGGATTTCTTTTGGACCATTAGGCGCTTATTAACCCTTTCGTGCACCAATAATGATAACCTGTAACCTGATAACATGAAAAGCTGTCCACTGTAGTAACTGCTGTCCCTGAAAGGGTTAATAGGGCGCAACCCGAGATTGTTTAGTTTTTTTTTTTGGAGGGGGGGGGGCAGAAAAATATATTGGAAACCAACTTATTGATCAATTATTTTAAATAATATAATGCATAAAATAAAATTAAAAAATTCCCTCTCATGAAAAAATAAATAATGAAAATTGCGGTGATTGAAGGCTTTAATCTGGGCTCAGCGGATCTAAGGTAAATACTAATGTTCATTCCAAGGCACATCAGTGATTGGTAAGCTATTGTTACAAAACCATGCATGCTTCAACTGCCGTTCTAGAGCTCATTGACGCTGCTGGTGGCGACGTTGCGATCGGGCAGTGCGTGGGTTTGGAAAATAATAATCCGTTCAATTTATATGGTGCTTTTTTTGGACACTCAAACACCCTTTACAAAATAAAGAGACCCAACACAGAACGAATAAAGACTAACAAAGACAACATTACAGAATGTTTAAAAAAGCGCGTTTGAGGAGTTGGGTTTTGAGGGAAGAGTTGAAGTTTCAAGTGAAATATTTTTGAGAAAATTTCAGTATTTTAATACGGTACATTTGCAGCATCGTTTCCAGACAATTTCACTGAAGCATTCTTGCAAGGGCCATGGAGACATAGTGAATTTCTTACCGCGGGATGAAGACCTTCTCCAGTTGTTCCATAGTTTTCAGTGCAGCGTAGTATCTAAGGACATGAATTGGAAATAGCAAAGAGGAAAATTACGGTTGAATTCTCTTCCACAATTGCAGTCAAAAACACATGTAAAAATTATGAAAACAAGGTTTTTAAAAAATTGCAATGAAAATTTGATGTAAACACCCCACAGCTTGTACCTTTGTTAACTTTATTCGATAATGAGGCGACATATGCATAAACAGAGTGTTACTATTGTTCAATACACCTCTGATGCGTAGTTGCATGTTTGCAAGGACAGGGTACGGACACTTTTTTTTAGCATTAGCGTTCCACGACTTTTTCAAAAGTTTTCGCTTTAATTTCCAAGACAGAAAAAAAAAAAAGTCAGTTGGATGACTGAAAACTGTTGAGGTACAAAACCAAAGAGCAAACAAGGAAACAAGGTCATCTCAAAAATTTTAATATGTGGCTCTTGGCAAAAGTAGACTCATGTTGATCCACTTTCTTTAACCGGTAATTGCAACAGCAGCAACACTATTGCACTTTTGAATAACTTCAACAGATGAACCATTTGACATCAGTTTATTCGTTTTAGTATTTGTATTAGTGTTTTAGTTGCATAAATAAATCAAATGAAATAAATCCTTTGCCTCCTTTGATTTTGATGTGTGTGTGGCCCCTGGGGGAAAAGAAAAGCTTGGACAATGCTGGTTTTAGAATCCGGAAATAAAACAAATGCTTTTCGATTGTGGTTCAACTCATAAAAATTAAAAAAAAAAAAAAAAAAAAAAACCTCAAGAAAACTGGCCTGGACATAACTGACTGCCCCTTTACTTAATATTTTGGAACAACCATTTTAGGCAATGACTGCAATCCAAAAATATATATAATTCAAACTTGAGACTTCCACATCTCTCCAGCAAGTATTATGGCCTACTATTCATGATGAAACTGCTCCAGTTGAAACATGCTTTCTCCAGACTCCAGGTTCAACTCCTTCCAGAGAGGTATTCAATTGGATTTAGATAAGGCCACATTGAAGGCCACTTATGTATATGTATATGAATGCGTGTGTATACGCACGCACGCACGCGCGCGCACGCACGCACGCACGCGCGCACTTTTCCCCTTCTTCCAACTCCTCACAAGGCGTTTCAAGGCCAACCATGATTCCCGTGTCCTGGGTTGACCCATGGCCTGCTGCCGACATCCAGGAGTCATCCTAAACTGATGCCTGAGCCACCACATCTGCCTCCTCTCAACATGAAGAAGCAGCGGCTCGACTCGTGCCTCATGGATGACTGAGCTTCTTACGCTATCTTTACAGTAGAGCCTGAACACTGGTGCGGTGCAATATGGCCATTTTATATCACGATAGCGATAGATATATTTTCTATTAAAAAAAATATACAACACACGATGACTGCTTACATTTCCTCACATTAATCCATTTAATCCCAAATTTTTCTCAGACATTTAAAAGTCAAAATCAGGTGTCATTGGTAGCCCTTTGAAGTAATCAGTAATAAAAAAAATTTAGAGCCCTGTAAATTAAATCATTGTTCTTCACAAATGTGACCGGTGGGATTAAATGGGTTAACAGACCTGTATCAAATGAGAAAAGCATCCAGTAGTCCTACTGCTGCAGTATAAAATGATCCAATGTAAACAGAAGCAAAGTAGCCTACATGTTTGAGCACAAATGTACCTGTAAATACCAATCTAAATAAGAGGCACAGGAAAAAAAAAAAACAAATGTTTCTGACAGAATTTTTTTTTTTTAAATCAATAAAAAGATGAGATCTACTCTACCATTTGGAGAACATTCATTGGGCATATACTGTCACTTCAATAAATGTTGTGACTGAGCACAGTTCTATGACTTCGTTAATAACTTATCCCAAGTGGTAGTAACTTCACTCGCTGGGAAATGTAGCGGTAACTTCACTGAACTTATTTGATTTTAGATACAGCAACTTTGAACTTGCTTGAAACTTAAGATAGGATTTACTCTTGTATGACTTACTCCCCCCCCCCCTACTAATTAGCGTATCGCGCTCGACTGAAGCATTTAACGTGGTTTCAAACTAGTGACGCCAGAGCCGTTTCCTGCAGTGACGAAGGGAGTCCTCTTTTGTTATGGATAAATGAACCCCCACAAACTGAAGCGGGTTGAGCCAATTAGAGCCGTGCAAAACCGAGGTACAGTGTGGTGGAAAAGGGGATTTAAAGACATTGCAGTCTTTGGGAGTGAGCACAAATCAAAGGGGTTCACCCTTAGTTCAGTGTGCTGAACTCCCATCATTAGGCTGATAGGCAGGCTGTGAGGGATCTAATTGGTCAGTCAGCGAGTGTAAAATGTGTTGTACACACATGAACAGAAGACAGCCTCATAAACTGTACAGTGAAAAGGGTCTGTCAGAGCGCAGCGCACCAGGAAGGACAGCACAAAGGCAAAACGTGGCAAGACTGTGACCTGCCCGGCAACCATATTCGGTTCAGATACCGCTAAGTATACATGCACTTCGCAATTTAAACTAAGAACAGAAAAGCCATTTCATTAGTGCTGAAAGTAGAACCAAATGCCCAAACACATACATATATCCCACGCAGTGGCCGGACATGGTCTAATTGCCTAAGATTGGCAATGGGCCTTGACAGGACTGCAACGAGGGGGCCTTGTCGCAAACAAGGGCACACTGAGGGTCAATTGTCTTGCCAGTGAATGGCCCGTTCCTTTGGTCCACAGTAATGAACAAAAAAGGGGTCATTATTTTTCTGTCTGTGAAGTTCATGGGGTAAAAATGAAGTTCAAGCAAACCCGCAAAGTGGAGTTGACTTGAATTGTATTCGTGAAGAGAAATATGACTTCAGTACGTCAAGAACATTTTCATTCTCAATTGTTTACGATGTTTTCAACGGAGCACTAATAATCATCTTTGACCATTCAAAATGTAAATCATCCGGTTAAATGTTTCTTTTTCTACTGCTTTTGATTGTTTCCATTCCATCCATCCATTCTCTGTACTTCCCTGCTCAGGTTGCTGATATGCTAGAGCCGATGCAAACTGACTTCAGATGCTTCAATTAAACTACCGTGCATATTTTTGTAATGTGGGAGGAAAACGTGCCAAGACAAAACGCATGCAAGCCCGGGGAGAACATGTTAACTCTACAAAAGAAGGCCGGAGCCCGGATTGGAATATGAGACCTCTGAACTATCCGCTGTGCATCCGCAATGTAGACCAAAGATAAATGTTTGAAAAAATTAGAATCTAGAACCTCGAATCTAGAACCTCGAATCTAAGAAAGTTATATTTGAATACTATTTATAACATAGAGGGACAACATGTTTGAAATTGCAGATTGCAGACAAAAAAAGGCATATGAATGACGGGGCTTTCTTGACTGAGGTTGATGGTGAAGGTGGTTTTATCCTTGACAGAGGTTATAATTTCGTTTTTGTTTTTTTGTTTTTTTTAACCACCACCTTGAAGACATTTCCCAAAACTTTTACTTTGATATGTAAAACTGATACCTTTTGGATTCCAGCTGCTCCTTAAGTTTGCTGTACATTTCTAGCACTGCGAGAGAGAACAAAAGAGGAAGATAGAAAAATGAATTCACATGTTTTTGGGTTGCCACTGAAAAAAAAAAACATTACAAATTCAAAATCCAAACAGAAACTGAGTAATTTAAACTGGTACCGTAGTTGACAAGTTGAGCAGATTTGTCAGTGGAACATTTTTATTACAGCCCTTTTTCCACTTCACAGTATCTTCGGGTATTGCTGTACTATCAAATCAATGACAATATGCTAAGAGACTCAGTCAAAATTACTTTCTGAAGAGCAAGTTACGTTCACCTTGTTAATCTGGTTTTAAATTGAACATAAATATAAAATTAACTTCAGCCCTACGAGCACATGCCTGCTGAGAAGCCAGGGTGACCTGAGCTTGGAGTTGAGGAGCAGTGTTTCTGCTTTAGACTGGACTGGACATTGTCTTTTTTGCTCTCTAGAACGATGTATTAATCTTGAAAAATGATGTCATCACCAGATATCCTCTTGAATCAGAAAAATCTTCAAATTAACCCTTTCAGGGACAGCGGTTACCACAGTGGACATCGTATCATGTTATCAGGTTACAGCAGGGGTCGGGAGCCTATGGCTCGCGAGCCAGATATGGCTCTTTTGATGATTGCATCTGGCTCACAGATAAAACTAAATACTGTTGCTTGTTTTATCCATCCATTGATTTTTCACTGCTCACGTTCTGTTCAGGGCTGCAGTTGGTGGCAGGAGCAATTTTAGATCGATGATACTGGCCTACGTATTCCATTGCTGGGGAAACAGGTAAACGCCCCCTTTTGCATCAGCCTGCTCGGTCATTTGCTCAAATCTAATCCTTCAATGAATAAAATGGCGAAAAGAATAAAAGATGACAAGTATGGTCCACTTCAGGACGAATGGACCAAAGGATTCGTCTTTGTGGAGAGAACAGGTTCTGCGGTGTGTCTAATTCGCAATGACAAAATACAATTAATGATACGGTCGAATATAAAGTGGCACTTTGACACGCGCCATGCTACGTTCGCATCAAAATACGCTGCGGGAGACAGTAGAAAGGAAGCGTGCAAGCTACTGAGCAGGGTGCAAGCTAAACAGCAGCAAGTCCGCTGACTAAAATTCCGCTAGTTTTGCTGGATCTTGAGCAATCATGAGCCCCTGTGCCTTTCCTCGACACGCAGTCCCATTCCGCTAGTTTTGCTGGATCTTGAGCAATCATGAGGACTGCCATCTCCCCTGTGCCTTTCCTTGACACGCAGTCCCACGTCATCAGTGACTGTGGAAATTTGCATCTTTTCTTCAGGCAGTCGTCATAGGTCTCGTTGATATTGCACCAAACAAAAGTTCCATCATAATCACCTTGCCCAACGCAGAGTTGCGAATATCATTTTCATCCAGTCATCCACAGTCTATGATTGCTTTTCTTTCGCCCATTGTATCCTTTTCTTTTTCTGTGAAGGTGTTGAGGATGGCTTTCTTTTGACTTTTTTCCGACAAAATCATGACATTCCATCACTGGTGAGCTATTTTTAGAACAGCCTAGCGACTCCTGTGGTCCTTTGGGTGCTACAGACCCCTGTTTGATAATGTGCTACCTGGTATACAGAGCTGGAGTTTCTCCACAGTTGTGGCCATGTTCCTCTGCTGGATCCGACAGCGAATCACCTCCCCAGTTTGAGCTGTCACCTAAGGGTAAGAAAAGCGATTAAAATAAAATGAAAACAACTTGAAATGCGGTGTTTTCTTGAAATATCGGCTCATACAGCTAGCAAAGCATCAATATGCTAACTGGCCTGAATACAAAAGTGAAGTTAAAAACTGCAATCCCACTAGTCTTCACTGTGTAGCCGAGGTTAAATGGACACTTGGGGATAGTGACCAGGCCGACCCGCAAATAGAGAAAATCTGCATATAATTGACGGCCAATGAAATGCATTAGCAACATTTTTTTTCCTTTAAAAAAAATAATAAATAAAGGGGTTGGGGGCAATACGGAACAAACAGAAAATGAAAAAAATCATTTTAAAAATACTAAAAAAGACAAATCTGAATATGAGAATCTGCAGGTGTCAAACCGGCAAGTATACGGGGCTCCACTTTATTCTCTTCTGTTGCTAGTTCTGATAGTTTACTGTGATCCTGAAACAAACATATATATTTATATCAAAAAATGACTTCGCCCAGACGTCCCCACCATTTTGTTTTGCCGGTGACCGGTTTCACATAATCATATTTTCATGGACCAGTATAGAAACAAATAATATAGAACTTATGACACTGAACTTAAATTGTTGTAATTAGTATGAGCTCTGCGTTTGTTTTTCTTCAATGAGTTGGTACCTGGGGCTTTTTTTTTTTTTAATAAATCCAAAG